AATGGTGGCGGTTGTTGTTGTAGTAGGTGTGGTTGTAGTTGTATTAAGGCTGGCGGTTGTTGTTGTATTAGGTGTGGTTGTTGTTGTTGTATTAAGGTTGGCGGTTGTTGTTGTATTAGGTGTGGTTGTAGTTGTTGTATTAAGGTTGGCGGTTGTTGTATTAGGTGTGGTTGTAGTTGTATTAAGGTTGGCGGTTGTTGTTGTATTAGGTGTGGTTGTAGTTGTATTAAGGTTGGCGGTTGTTGTTGGATTAGGTGTGGTTGTAGTTGTGGTAGGTGTGGCTGTAGTTGTAGTGGTGCTGGTTGTAGTGGCTTTGGCAGTTGTGGTGGTGGGCTCCGTTACTGTTGTGCGTGTTTCAATGTATTGTAGAAATTGGAAATATAAAAGTAACAGTTGAGAAAATTACTCCAGCAAGATTTAATAACAATACAGAGTAATACAGAAAGCATTCTAAATAGTTTTGAACATTGATGATGTTGCTTGTTTGACTTACGTGTTACACTGGTGATGAAAAGAGTGGTTTTAGCTTCCAAAATAGTGCTTGTTATGTCCTCGGTATTGGGCAATTGGGTTGCAAATGTCACATTAATGTCAGTGATGATTGACCCACGACTACAGAAGAGAAAGTGTCATAAAGAGTCTTAGAGAAAGAGTGGTATTATACAAGTCTGTCAGATGCTTTTAACAAAACTCATGTACAGTACTATGCAAATGTCTTAGGCATATTACATTTGTTTTAAGATGGTTATACCTGCATATATATATATATATATATATATATATATATTGCCTTTGTAAACCAGTAGAAAATAACAATTTTGGATTTACAAACATTCTTTTTGCAAAACGTGGAATAATATTAAGATGTTCTTTGTATAAACAAGGAGTCCAACAACCAGTTGTATGGCCAACACAGACATCTGATCTCACCATCATCTGGGATTACATGAAGAGACAGAAGCAACTGATACTAAAGCCTAAATCAATAGAAGAATTGTGGAAAATACTGTAAAAATGGGGTTTTTAAAAAAAAAATAACACCATGAACTTTTATCATTTAACATCGATTATGCAAATCAAGTCGAAGTTTGGTGTGATCACCCTTTGTCTTCAAAACAGCTCTTTCATAGGTGCACACAGTTTTCAAGGTATGTTCCAAGCATCTTGGAGAAGCTGCTTCAGTTGTTCTATTGATTTAGGTAAGGCTGCAACAACTAATTGATAGAATTGATTATAATGGATAATGAAAATAATTGACAACAAATTTGATTAGCACTGTGCTCGGAAACCATCAGCTAGTCACGCTGCTTTACAGTAGTGAATATCCCATTTCTATGGACAAAATGCATATGGAAAATAGCAGAGGACACAGAGTTAAATGCTGCTTGAAAGGTACATGATCCAAGTTGTCTGAAACATGAGAATGCTTTATATTTAAAAGCGCTTCAAACAAAAGCATAAACATTTAACATGTCTTTCCCTGTCATGCTTTGACAGATGCGTGTGCTGTTTAATGCATCTGACGCGTGTTTTCCTCAGTGCAAAACATATATTTTATGGTTGTAGCATTATCTGTAAATGCTAGAAAGTCCCACGAGTATTTCAATTTTTGCATATTCTGACAAGCGAGTCTTGTTACAAGGGGAGCTGTAAAGGGGGGTAAGGTTAGGATGATTCCAGGGGCCTGACGAGGGAGATGGGGCCGATTTTTACTGAGGGGACCAACCACTCCCCAACTTCCCTTTTAGTTTTAGAATTCAGTGTTTGTATTTTTTAACCCTTTTTGCTTATAATGTACAGCATAACCTACATAGAAACATTGACTATATTTGTTTTCCTAGGCTTTATATTACACATAGTTTGGAGGCCACCACTGGGTAAGATGTGGAATAACATTGTTTAAAATAATAGATATTTTTTTTCCATCTGATTAATAAAAAAAAAAATCGACTGATTATCAAAATAATTAGTTGCAGCCCTAGATTTAGGATTTAGCCTCAGTTACCTCTGTCTGTGTGATCCCATAGGAATATTTGGAAATCTAAAATTGTTATTTCTTATATAGAAGAAAAATTTATAAATTGCTATCTAGATTGTCCTGTAAACCAGAGACTTTTGTCTTCCAAAAATGAATTGTGTTCCTATTTAAAAGGAAGAAATACTCACCGGAACTTAATAACGTCCAGTCCAATGAAGGAGGAGAATTCCTTTCTAAATAATGGTTTCAACTGTGGAAAACAAGTTGACAATGTCAGGTTCAATATTTAGTTAACAATTCTGAATTTTAATCACAGAAGAAAATACAACATGAAAGAGATTTGATAGTCATTCATTTGTTTTAACATGATATGAAGTTATTGTTCCAGCAGTTTCCAAATTTTAGTGAATGATAGCATTTACTGTCTAAGTCTTCTTTGTAGTTCTTGTTCAATTGTATGTCTTAACGTACTTGGTCCATCATCCGGAATTAAAGTATTTAAATGCTTGGAGGGAATATTTGCACCCATTTTCACCTTTTGTTTCTGTTATCACAATTATTTATTCACTTATTTTTATTTAAAATATATTTAACTTTTTTTTATCTTGGCAACAGTTTTTTTTTTTTTTTTTTTTGCTACTTCTTCTACAGGACTTTTCCTGTCTTCTCATAATTATACTCAGATGATCGCCCAGCCAAGCCACACACAAGTTTGGAATTTTTTTAATTTAACTGTTCTTGAGAAATTACTCTAATACAGGGATCCTCAAATCTGGCCCACGAGATCCACTTTCCTGCAGAGTTTAGCTCTAACCCTAATCAAACACATCTGAACATACTAATCTTACTCAATGTCTTCAGGAACATAAGAAAATCACAGGTAGGTGAGTTTGATCAGGGTTTTTAGTTAAACTCTGTGGAGCATTGGCCCTTTAGGGCAAGGTTTGAGGAACCCTTCTCTGAGAAGTTCAATAGTGAGAATGCAAAAAAGAAAGTGTGATTGGCAATTCTTTGATGTATTAACATTTAGCAGTAAAATTTGACAGTAAAATATGAACTAATTATTAAAATAGCAACATATTATATTTACACCAGGGCATAAATAAAACAGAACACTATTTGCACTGGAGTAAAAATAACCTACATTACTGTCTATGTGGGGTGCAATTAATTAGGTACACTGCTATCTATGTTAGTGTGCAGAATTAAATACTGAATACATTGCAATGTAAAGAGTCTGTTACTATTTAACTTGCAGTGCAAACGGCACCTTGAATTTTTGCTATGCAACGTACCACATTTGAGACGTTGTTTTTTCTGGTGTTAAATGCGTCTGAATCTGGATTTGAGAGATCATCCACAAAAGTTTCATTGCTGGAGAAACTAAAAAGAACTGACTGGGTTGTGCTTGGGGTTGTTGTAGCTGTGGTTATTGTAGGTTGAATTGTTGTATCTGGAGTGGTTTGTAGAATTGTAATTATTGGAGCCCGTGTTGTGGTTGTAGGTTGAACTGTTGTTTTTGGGGTTGTAAGAGGGGCTGTAGATGTAAGTACAGTTGCTGTTGTTGGTGCAATTGTTGTAACCAGGGTTGTAGATTGGGCTGTATTTGTTGTAGGTATGGATGTTGTTGAGTTTGTTGTAACCACAGTTGTAGGTTCAGTTATTCGTGTTGTTTCTGTAGAAGAGGCAGTAGTTGGAAGTGGAGTTGCGTTGAACTGTTGTTTTTGGGGTTGTAAGAGGGGCTGTAGATGTAAGTACAGTTGCTGTTGTTGGTGCAATTGTTGTAACCAGGGTTGTAGATTGGGCTGTATTTGTTGTAGGTATGGATGTTGTTGAGTTTGTTGTAACCACAGTTGTAGGTTCAGTTATTCGTGTTGTTTCTGTAGAAGAGGCAGTAGTTGGAAGTGGAGTTGCAGTTGTAGGTGAGTTTGTCGTAACCAC